ACATACATACATACATACATACATACATACACACACCTTTGTCCCGTCTCGTCCTCCTTTTCACGTTGTCTTTCTTTTGTCTTTGCTGCGCGCACACTTACACCAGCGTCCTAGCCTTAATTCTTTTTGCCTCCCCTCGGAGGGGCGTGTGTGTGTGTGTGTGTGTAATCTTTGGAGTCACAAGGTTCCTGTTGGAATGTTTGATAGGACTTTTAAGCAGGGGGGTGCAGAGCACAGTGGGAACTGCACCCAACGAAGCTATCCACTTGTGCTGGAAGCAGAGCCTGATCAGCTCTGTGTACCTGCTTGAATTCTAAACATTTACCAAGATGTGTGGTCAAGGGCTAGTTGCATTCCGCAGACACGCACGTCACGCCGTCATCTGTCGGTTCGTTTTTGACTTGAGCTTTTGGCCCCTTCTCCTTTTGAAGCCCTCCAGGTTCCATAGGGCTTTCTTGGACTGTTCAGGATTTGGGAACCCAGGTTGGCGTGTGGCAACCGCTTTCAAATCAGTACGCATCATCTCAAGTGTGTGTACACCTCGGACTCAAGGGGCAGCGGCACTGAGCACTCCTTGGCAAACTCAGTGCAACGAAGCTATGTCGTGGAGTGGGAAGCACGGGTTGATCATCCGTGTGTACCTGCACTTTTAACAAGTGTGGCGTTCTGTAACTACCTTCTCCTTCAACTGGCCAGGCTGTTTAGGTGAATCTGAGGTCTGCGGGCTTGCACGCTCCGTCGTTAGTTCTTCGACGTGAATTTGTTTCCACTTTAATGCCTCGAGACCTTCTGAACTTGAACTTGCAGGTTTGATGGTTGGAGCCCTCTGTACTACTTAGGTTTTAACTTAACCTACCCAGGCTTCGTCAGGCTTGGAGCAAAATCAGGTCGTACGTATGCATTTCCCAAGTGTGTGTGTGTGTGTGTGCGTGCACGGGTATGCTTTCCGATCATGAGGGTCAGGCAACGGACTACAAAACAACAGTCTCGCGCAGGGAGCTGCAGGTCAACAAAAACCACCCGTGACAGTACCCTACCCTACCCTATACTCAATGGAGTGATAATATGATAATATGTGTACCCTGATAGAACTCCGATGGTACATCTAACAAATCCAATTATATCACATACACGAAATAAGCTATATAGTTGCCAACAACTCAAGGACAACCATCAGGTTGGTGGTTCTTCTGGAGTTTCAATCGTTGTTTGTTTGCCTGCCAGTAGTGTGTGTGTGTGTGTGTGTTTGCTTCCCTTCAGTGCGTAGGGTGCGCTTTTGAACTGGATTCGTCTGCGTTGTTCTGCGTGCAATACTCTGTATACAAAGGAACATTGTTGTTGCGTTCTTGTTGCTCTTTTGTTGTTGCTGTTGCTGCTGTTCTTGCTTAATGTGTTGTTTTTGTGTTTGAATGTTTCGTGCTATATTTATAGCGGTTCCTGTTCTTGCTGCTGCTTTTACATGTAACATTGAATCCTCCGGTGCACTCCCAACTCCGTCACATTTACCTCCAGTTTGTCAATATATAACTGACCCTTATATAAGCTGTTGGCACACATTCCACGTCAAATGCAGCCTTTAAAATTCCAAAAGAAACCCACTCCACTCCTCCTCGTGATTGTCATTGGCCTCCATGAGAAGGAGTTTCTCACCATCCTCGCAGGACCTCTCGCCATAAGATTTACAATAATTTTCGTCCTTGAGTTTGATGATCCAAATACCTTGGCCGGATTCAGTTTGTTTGTGGGCCAACTGGATGGCAAGTTTTGTGGCAAGCCCTTTCACGACCGAAAATGGAAAACCCACCTTCACAAAAAGGCAAGGAACCTTCCCCAGAAGAGCCTCGATTCTGTTTGATCACACGCGGTTGGAAGGCCATGGTCTTCTTGAAGCCGGCGGCGAACTCTTCGGGCGAGTAGTATGCCAAAGTGTCCTCCAAACCAATGTTCATGGTCGCCACCTTGCACAAAGCATCCTTGGCACCCATCTTCTCCATGACATCCGGGGATGGCCAAATCTGTTTGCCCGCCTTTCTCAAGGCACGCATGCCATCATCGAACTTTTGCTGGTCTCCACCATCCGCTTTGATCTGCCCGGGGTTGCACCTCACAATGACGAAGTCAAAATTTTTGCAAAGTTCGAAGAACTTGTCATGTTCTTCATGAGTATAATGAATCAATTGGCAGCTCATTCCCGAGTTGATCATTCCATTCACAATGGGAATGGAATCGTAACGATGGCCGTTGTTGCTCTTGTCTGAACCTCCGTAAGGCTGGCTTCGGACATAGATCTGAGCCAAAGCCCCCTTGAACTTTGGAGCTGAAGGCTGATCTAGCATACCCTTGTAGTCTTTGGCAACCACCGTGATGGAGCTGCAATCGACAGGGCCGGGGCATGGTTTCTTCTCCATGCATGCATCCTTAATCTTGGCAAGATGGTCTGCGGGCAATTCCTTCAAGGCTGCAGCAATCTCCTCACGGTTCAACGCACAAGTAAATATTTATTTGGAAACAGCCTGGAAGCACGTGTAAAGAGAACGCAACATACCAGCTGATAACTTGTCCGACGACGACGAAGCCTTTGAACATTGCTGGAGCACAGCCGAGCTTATTGACTCTCACGGTTCGGGAACAACTCAGGACATCGTCGAAGCCTCTACGCGGACTCTGCGCGCAGTGCATTGGGTGCTAATCGATACACTTCTTCCCATCTTTGTGTGGGGTTCTTACTTTTACTGCGTACCCCGTCCGCCTCCGCCCTCCTCATCCCGCCTCGTCCTCCCGCCAAAACCAACTCTCGTCTCACACCAATTCAACACTCACCAGCTCAAATCACTACTGATCTCACACCAACCCAACTCACCCAAACAAACTCAACTCATACTACCTCCTCTGACCTATTCTCCTCCTCCTCCTCCTCCTCACCATCATCATCATCATCATCATCGTCAACTCACCTCACACCAACTCACAGCAACTCATTTCACACTTACACACACTTCAGTCACTAACACTCATTACTCATCTCTCACCAACTCAACTCACAAACTCAACTCATACTAACTTATCTCACCCGACACTTACACTCACTTGCATTCACACCCACACTGACACTCACACTTGCCCACCCACCCACGCACGCACACCCACCTCCGTCCCTTTGCTAAAGCATGCCTGCGATCCTTCAACCCCATCTGTGTTTGCCGAACACCCACATGGCGGCCATGGACATCGCCAGCCAGTTGCAGCCAGTTGAACCTGCGGTCCTTGAAGCCAAACGGAGGCGCACCGCGGCAAGCAGAAAAGAGACAGAGGATGGAGGAACAAGAGGGGCACATGGAGGTCACGAAGTTGCCCGGAGAGACATGAGGCCTAGTAACGTAGCGATGCGTTTGTTACTATGCAGCCAATCCTGGTGAAGGAAACCACCAATGGACCAATTTGGTCCGACCAAAGCAATGCAGTCGACTGCTGTCTCTTCGAGTCGTTTTGGTGCACCCTGATTGAACGAGTTCACAAGGTCAGCCCTGTGGATGGCAGTTCCCCAGTTTGGCAACAGACAGTGGCCACACAGGCGGTTCTCCAGGATGGCACTTGGGATTCCTTCAATGCAACCACCAACAGAACCGCCTCGAGATCAGCCAAGGCAGGAGGGCCTGTCCATGCAGGCCCTTACATCGACCTTGGGGGAGATATGGTCCGACGCAAGGCCTCAAGCCTCCCAATCAGGGGCCACACAAACCGTGGAAGATGCAAGTTGGCTTGAAAGAGACTCACCTCTACAAACAGTTTTTCAGTCTTGCCTGCAACAGTGTGTGGCAACTCCTGCAGATGGCAATGCAGCCACACAATGCTCGACGATGCGACTTGGCGACTCAGCTCCCTCAGTCCATCAATGGCGGGAAGACCAAGCACCAGCCCAAGGGTAAAGGCAAGGGCAAGACTGAGGTGACCTTGACTGAGTTCCATCCTCCCCTTGATCCCGCTCACTTCTGCAAGCACACTTTCCACCACATCACTGGGTGACCAAGCGGCAATATGAAACAACTGTCTCATCGAAGGCTTCACCAACTCCAAAAAAGGCAGGCTAAAACTCTGTTTGCTTCTCCTTTCGCAACCGGACTCCAACCATACCGTGGATGCTTTGCTTCACATCACAAGTGTGACATCCGACATAAGGAGTGGATTCCCCAATTGCCTAAGAAATGGACGCAGAACTGGCACCATAAGAAGAGTGTTTGTCACGACCCTTGGCAAACTCGCGGTGTGCATACGTTCCACATCGCAGCCAATATATAATAGAAGTGTTTCACCCAACCTCAGCAGCCTCTGTGCTTGAGGACCTCTGGCAGCCTCACTAAGCCTGTCTTATTCGGCGGACCTTCAAAGTCAGGGGAGACAGAGGGGAGACAAACTGTATAAGTCAGCGCCGTTCAAGCAAAGGCTTCCCATCTCCTCTGCTTTCGATATGGTGCTTTGACAAAGATCTGTGAACTGAGATTATGATTAGACCCTGATCCAAAACGTCTGCACTCAATCGATCAGAGTCGTTTGAGTTTGAGGGCTCAAAAACAAAAGCTAACACTTATGGTTGCGCCTCTTCAACAAACAGACTTGTATAAAGTTAAACTGAAGTGGAAGCATCCGTAATTATTGCTAGTGAAACATCTTAGAAACCATAAAATTAACGCCTTGTTATCTCTCACTCCCAGTTTGAAAGTGCTTGTCAGTACAGCAAAGGCTTCTTAGTGTGAAACGATGTTCCAACTGCAAAACATACTGCCACATTGTCATTGTCCTCAGGGGACTTGCCGGCAATGGCATCGGTGACTTCCTTGGATGCACCAGAGCCCATGACGACAAAGGTAGTCAAGAAGCGAGAGTGCTGGTTTTGCGTTTGGAATTGTCCGAAACTGCTGCGGAATTCCAAAGCCTTGTCTCAAGATTGTCTTGCAAGTGCAAAACATGCCAGGCCATGTCCTCTGCTCAGAAAATGCCCCACAAACATTGTGCGAAGGTCAAGACCAAGCATTTAGGTAAACGCTCATCAAGCTGAATATGCGGTGAGGTGTCTTGCTGTCTTGCAGGTTGGGATGGCCACTTTTTTGCAGTTCATGCGCTACTCACATTGGATATGTTTATTCCAATTGAGCAACCGGAGTCCCTCACCTTCAGTGCCAAAGGGAAAATTCGGCCATGGAATTCCAAAGGATTTGCACCCTGAGTGTTCCCAGAAACGGTTTACTTGCTGCGCCACAAAAGGGCTGAAGCAGCATAGCAGTGAAAATGGTAGATGTGACCGTGGAGCATCGTTGGACTCTTTTGACTTCTAGACACTTTTTGAACCGGCATCTGTCATACCTCTAGACTCTATATGTACAAATACATATTGTTTCTCTCCAGTGGTTCTGTCTATTTCACAACTTGCCTCTGGAAACACAAGTGCCAAAATGAAACAGTGGCCCGCTAACTGGCTGTCATGCTCACTTGGAGAGGATCTTCAAAGCTTTCTCGCCCATAAGATCGCCCATTCTCTTGGCCTCAGCCTTGTCCTCCGCAGAGATATCATCCCAGTTGGCGTTGGGGGTGTCATCCTTGCAGTAGGCGGCCAAGCAGCGCGAAATGCCAACCTCAGGTGGTAGCACTGGTGGTGGGGTCCCTAGTTAGTTGGAGAGTTTCAGGACTATGAGAAAGCCTGTTGAAAGGTTTCCCAGTGAGCCTCCTCCCCTTAACCCCCCTCATAAGTCCACGAAACGCAGGAGCAATTGAACTCGCCGACGATCCATTTCTCATCCTCAGCCTTGGTTCCTGGCACACAAGGAGTTCAGGATACTTGAGGTTGATGCCTTGTTGAAACAAACACGACTGCTGCAACTCACTCTTGCAAGCGCTCGAAGCAAGGCCCGTCCCCCAAATGAACCTCATGCTCCATGCAATCTTTCTAAAACAACTGGCACCCTTCAACCGCGATGTTTCCCGCGTGGCCTGGTGGTGAGGCGTTGATGAAGTCAGTAGTCCACCAAAGTGGCAAAGGTTCTTCGGCCAAGTCAAGCGAGGGCATGACGTGGGGCAGGTCCTGAACGCCACAAGCCACTAACAAAGCATTTGTTTGTGGAAATGAGGTGACACTTGCTACTTACTGTGTGCTCGATGGCGCTATATAGTTTCTCTCCAAAAATATGCCCGGCCTTTTGCAAGAAATTCTCGGTCAAGCTTTTGAAAAGTGGCTCATCAGGTCCATAAAAGGTGTAGATGGAGCCGGTTCCACCCACAGCCGAGATTCCTCCCTCCTTGGGCTTCTTGTGGATGACTCCAATCAGGGAATCACCAACGAGGTTGTAGCGCAACTCACCTTCCACAATGCGGGGGCAAAAGCGCTGATCCACCAACTGTCCACCAGCTTCCTTGCCACCCTCCAAGTACTTTCCAACGCCCTTGGAGGTCCACGTGCCAGACTTGTCGTTGCGGCCATTCACGCAGAACTCAATAAACTCTGCAACGGTGTGCTCCTTGTGCATGCAAGGGTGATTTTGGCGTTCAGTAAGCCACATGTTTGCATTGTGTGTGCTCCTTCATACATTCAAGGCAGGAACGGGGCTGCAAGCCTGTCATTGCACCAGCAGTGGCTGGAGTCCTCTGCGCGACCTGCTCTTTTCATTTCTCGTTTCTTCTTAGCTTGCAATGATTGAACTGTGAAGGTCGAAACCTTCTAGTGAGAAGAATTGCCTGCAGCATTCCCAGACTAAGGGAGATCATGAGAGGTCAACGATTTAGCAGTGTTTCTTCTGTTCATGAGCAATGTTGTTGGCCCATGACAATCGGTTCACTTCGGAGCTTCTGGCGGGCTCATCCGGTGTGTTTCCGTCCCTTTGCGCGTCAAACTCAAAGCCTTCCTGATAAGGTGGTGCGGGATCATTCCTGCTTCCGCTTCCCCTGCCAAGTTTAACGCCCTTTGCTTTGTGCTCTCCTGTTTGGTTTACGCATGTGTGTGTGTGTGTCTGTGCCAAATCCACTAGGACCCGCACGGTGTTACACTTCAGGGCTCTCACCCAGGAGACTGAAGTCTTATTAAAAACAGTCGAAAGCACCTATCTAAGCTAGGCTTTGGGAAAAGGAGACACCCTTCCTTCCGATGCGGCATGAATGACCACGTGGGTTTGGATTCGGATTGTTGATTGGACAAGTCTGCTATGGACTTTGGAATGATCATCAGTGCTTTGCTTAACCTCCTTCGGGGATCGAAAACCCAGTGTCATTCAGTGAAACTGGTGGTGTTCAGTCGAACCATTTCTGTATGTGTGTGTGAAACTCATGGAGCCACTGGGAGTTGTTCGGTTTATTTTGCATTTTCTTCATCAGCAGGGGGCGGACAGGACTTGCAAAGTTCTGCCCATCCAAGCTCATTGCAACAGTCCTAGGAAGCGGAAGCTGATCATTTCCGCAAACCTGCACCTGAAGTGTGAATGTCTTAAGCACTCTTCAATCGTACAGGTCTTCAGGCTGATCGTGCATTCGCCGCCGCTCGTTTCGATGTCTCTTTTGACCTTGGAACTTGGTTCTTTCGACTTCAGAGTCATGAACATGACGATTAGACCGATCTATTATCACCTAATATTTACTCAATTTTACTCAGGTTTTTGTCTTCGATGGTTCTTCGGAGCTTGGAGCGACCAAACGCATTTTATCACGAGTGTGTGTGTGTGTGTGTGTAACCTTTGGAGTCACAAGGTTCCTGTTGGAATGTTTGATAGGACTTTTAAGCAGGGGGCGCAGAGCACAGTGGAAACTGCACCCAACGAAGCTATCCACTTGCGCTGAAGCAGAGCCTGATCAGCTCTGTGTACCTGCTTGATTTTTAACATTTGCCGAGATGTATGGTCAAGGGCTAGTTGCATTCCGCAGACACGCACGTCCTTCCGTCATCTGTCGGTTCGTTTTCGACTTGAGCTTTTGGCCCCTTCTCCTTTTGAAGTCCTCCAGGTTCCATAGGGTTTTCTTGGGCTGTTCAGGATTTGGGAACCCAGGTTGGCGTGTGGCAACCGCTTTCAAATCAGTACACGTAATCTCAAGTGTGTCTGGCCTCGTGCCAGCCCAGGGTGACCCCGCAGAGTGGCCCTGTGGACCCGTTCCCTGCGCCCAGGACCAGAGTAGTCCGCAGCGGGCAAAGTAGGCTTAGGCCAAAGTTTGTAGCCAAGATTTGAGGAACTATTGAATACAAGTAGGCAGTGTGAATCTTTTTGGAATGACATGCTCCACGGAACATGCCACAAAAACGCTCAAATAGTCCGAAGCTGGACCAACTTCTCAAGGAAAGCCTGGCACATGCCAAAATACTCAATACCGGATGGCCAGATAAAACGGGCCAGAAGAACGTCCTCAGGGTAGGACCCAAAAAACAAGTCCAAATATGCTGCCAACAGGGATTGACTTGCCCGCATTCACAATGGGTCACAAAGTTGCTGTTGTGGGCTTGTACCTGTGGAGATTGGATGGCTCCCACCGTAGCCATCCGCAGCAGTGGAGCCTCTCGCAAATTTCCTAGCCAGGCCAATGCGGTCCAAATTAATGGAGGCAGGGTCATAGCCATGAAACTCATGCCGCGCAAGGGATTGGAGCTCAGCAGTTTTCATCAGCCTCCAAGAGTCACGCAGAGAATGAGAAACCCTTTTCAAAAAAGATTACGTCGAAGGTCAGCCCAGCAAAAAGATAACGGAAAGTGAGGATGGCGCCAAAGGCCATCACGCAAAAACCAGCCCATGTCCACTAACTGTTGGTGCACCATCCACTCAAGTGAAGTGGACCACGCAGTCCCAAGACCAGCATCTCATGGTTACGGTTAGACAGGGCGCGCCATAACATAGCAGCGCCCAGCTCGAGCGCTGCGCCGCCAAGCACAGAGCGCAGCGTTGCCACTGAATAATGAAGCTTTCATTGCGCCGCCAAATGGCAGAATTGAAAACCTTTGTCAAATCTTCCAGGAACTGAGGCAATCCAACCAACGTGTGGGGCTCTGCATGTCTCTGCAACGCAGTTTCAGGGAGGAGCCCAATCCTCAAGGGCCTGAGAAAACGGCCTTGGGTCCGCTTGTTCTGCTTCACATCCGTGATGGCAGGCCGTCCAATGAGCAACCTAATACTTCAGCAAAAGGCTTAACATCAGTCAAGGTGTCCTGCTTGATGTCCACAAACCGGGTTTTTGAGACATTCTCCGCCAAATGAAAAGCAGTTGCAAAGGTGCGCCAAACGCGTTGGACATGTAAAGCGTCATCCAAACAAGAGGCGATGGCAGTTCTGTCATCCATCAAAATGGTCTGAAAGCCCAACCAAGTGATACCCAAGCCTTAGCACAAGAACCATATAGAGAGACGAGGCCGCGTCTCCCAGAGATCAAAGGGACAGAATGGACATGGCCTTTGTACACGTACCAACGTCGAAGGCTTTGCCAAAAGGTTGTGATCGTGGAGATCCATGGGCTCAAGCAGCTCGGTGCAACTTGCAACAATGCATCCCTCAAAACTCTCACAGTCGAAGGCATGCTTGAAGTCTAAAGAAACCCCATAGCCTCGGCTTTCCAGTTCAGCATCTACGATTGCGGCCATGACCTCTGGCCCAAGAGAACCAGGACTGCCACCAGCAATGTTACGTGGTAAAATGCCAGCTGTCAAACAAATGACCGCGGGGTCATGAATCCAAAGCTCTCCACCAGGTAGAAAGCAAACTGATGGGGCGAAGAGCCTGGTTCCAGAGTATGGTCCACCACCTTGGCTTTCGGAACGCAAACAACGCACCAATCCTTCATGGAAGTGGGTGTGTGCTCCCAAACGCTCATAGCCTGCCAAACAGCACGCACCGCACCAGGGCATGTGGAAATGGCCTTGAGTTCATGTTTGCCCCAACCGTCAACGGGATACCTAGGACGATGGACGATGGATTCCAGTGGTGCAGCGGCACTTGCGACAGGCCGGGAGACTCAGCCTCTGAGCATGGGCGCCAGTCTTGGCGATCTTGACACAATGAAAGCTTCTCGGGTCATCTCATCTTCTTCCTCTCTGTGTTGGTCATGCCAGCGAAAATCTTGATGTGGGTTCGCTTCGCAAAATTCATCAACGTTGGCGCAGGCCTTCCTCAAGCACGGACGCATCGGGGTCTGGCGACCAACTCTCTTTCCAACTGGTGACAGTTTTGCAAAGATAGGTAGCCACCAACTTGCGCAAGGGCCGTCCCAAAACCTCAGCCTTCGGGTAAATCTCCTCTTTGCTGGACTGCTTGGCATTCTTCGCGGCGATGCCCACGGCCATGCAGCGCCAGCCACAATCTCCAGCTCCTCCTAGTTGGACAATTTTGGAGCCAATCGGCCCAGTCAAACCACCAAAAACGCGGTCTTTCTCCAAAATTGCAAGTGGAGCGGACGGTGCCGCTGCTGCTCCAAAAGGGGAGGCACCCTTGGAAACAACCTCCTCGCGTTTCTTCTCAACCTTGCCATCGGACACGTCGTCCTCGTCCTTGTCCTCTGGGGTGTCCAATGCTGCGGGCATCAGGAGGAGTCAAAGGTTCACGAGGTCTGGAGTCAACCTTCCAGCCCAAATCCAGCAAAAGGCCTTCACCCTAAACAGAACCCAACTATGTGAAGTTTTGACCGTCTCCTCTTTCTGAATTCCAAGCTTGGCACCACCACGCCTAAAGCACAAAGGCGCTTGCTCCCATGGCCTGGGTGCGCTGCAAGTATGCAGTCGGCGACTCTTTGTCCTCAGGAGCAAACCACTGGGCAGGCGGCATAGTGGTGATGTTCTTGGCCAAACGAGTGACAAAAATGGCACCCGTTCCTGACAAACGCAGAAGGTCAGAAACTGCAGCGGAAGGTGCAGAATGTAGGTCGACCAACCAGATGTCTTCACTTCCTTCAAAGTGCAACCAAGGAGGGTCAACAAAATTGTTGGAGCCTTCAAAGTGGCATCAACCTTTGTCTTGTCCAAAAATTTCAAAGGTGAAGTGATACGGAGAGACTCAAAGCTAGCGTGCTGAACCGTCGGGGTCTTGGCCTCCTTGTTCAGGATGGTGAGTCCTTTAAGACCATTCAAACTCGCAACACAAGCCTTGATGACAGCGAGGTTGCCCATCCACGGCAAGGTCAAAGTCACCACCACGAATGTGATCAAATTCATCACTTTTCTCCTCAAATTAAGCGATGAGCACAAGTTTGCTATCAATCCCATGGACTTGGGCCAGCGTCTGCATCTGAGAGATCTGGGTTATGGAGATGCAAACGGTCACCGCCGCTTGAGGTTCACGTCCAAGTTCTAACATGCTCTGAGCGTTGGCACAGGAAATGATCTGACCTGCAGGGAAAATCTTCTGCAAGTCAAACTTTGGAACATTAGGATCACTCCCCGTGTTGGATCCCGCTTTCCCTTTGCCTTTGCCTTTTGACATGTTCTTGCTTTGCTTCTTGTCCTCAATGCGAAGCTAAAATATTCCTTGCAAAAGCTTTGCTGCCAAGAGCTCTGTGGCTGATCATCCAA